AATGTTGTGATAAGAAGGAAATTTAAATAAAAGTCAGACACTCTATTAATAACATCTATGAAAATTTTCAAAATGGCAACACATCCTATTCCTCACTAGTCCTCTGCGTGGCCTTCCACAAAAGAGTCTCAGTAGATTGTTGTACTGTTTGAATATAAAACCTTTCAGTAAACACATTTTTAGAGAAAGACTACACTGAACTCACTTATAATTTTAATTTTTGATCTAAGAAATTTCACTACATTCCTTTGATAAAATGGCTTTCAGGAATATTGCTGATAGCAAAATGATTAGGAAGAGATGAGTTTTAAACATTTATTGTCTTTGTATTTTAATGTAATTTTGTTTACATTAAACAAATTATAATTTTGTAATAATAGTCATGTTTAACCATTTGCTTGGAAAGTCCCAGATAATTTCGTATCCTGCTTTCATTGGCCAACAATGGATCTCAGGCAAGTTCTTGCTATAGGGACCTCAGCTGCTCTGTGAAATGAGAGAATGAGGCTGGATGAATGTGGCACTGAACCATCATCCATGGCTGAGTCTTCTGTATGACCACATTCTCCCAGCTCTGGTGGGAGCCCGCCTGTGAACTTAGTTGAAGAGAAGGCTCCTGCCACAATCACTGACGCCTGGTCAAGGGGCTCTGTGAATCAGGAAATTTAGTGCAGAAAGAAGCTTGTGGCTTTTATCACTACTAAAGTCTGTCTTTTCTGCTAGCTTAATTGGGACATGTTTGTGTAGAATCAAGTAGATTTCTAGTCTTACATATTTGAATCTGTATGTTCTAAAGGGGAATGTGGAGATTATTCTAAAAAGTCTTTTCCCATGTTTATACTCTTGGGGAAATGCTAAATATGGGACTTCTAAAGAGGCCATACTGGACAAGGTAAGCTAGGAATTAGCGTCCCCTGCACACATTTATTCTTACTTCACAGTGAGGGAAGAACCATGTTTGAGTATAACTGAGCTAGACGGAATTATTTTTCTTTTAGTTTGGTTTTTTTTTTATTGCTTGAATTTCAGCAATAAAAATTGCTTGAATTTTTCCATCTGGTAAATAAAGAAAATCAAGCTAGATGATCTCTGAGATCTGTTCTAAAATCTGTTTATGAAACTAAGGTCGGTTTGAACTCTGAAGTGTTCCAGATTTGGACATTTTCAGGAACTCTGTAGGAAACTTGGTATGAGACAGACTCAGTCTCTACAGAAGTGATGCCTTCTAGAACTGGGACAAAAGTGGATATGGACTGTTGGCAGATACTCTCTGGTGTTTTCCAGTAAGTTCTACAAAGGATGGAATTCTTTGCTGAATTAATACAAAGAGTGAAGGATGTTGTGTTCAGAAAAAAGCAAGCTGTAAAGATAGGGAAAAAAAAGACAACTTCAATTTCAGTGTTTGGGTGTGACTGGTCTGACAAAGACCTTGAACAGAGCTATTGTTGCAGGAGTAAATTGATACTGAGATTCCCCAAAGGCAAAGACGTGGAAGAAGGCAGGACTTGCTTCACCCTTCCTGCCCTATGGCACTGAGCGTCCTCTTCCTTCCCATACTCTGTAATGCTTTGCAAGCTGATCTACAGAGCAGGAATTCTAACCTCTCTTCCCCTCCTTTCTGCTTCCTTCCCCTTCCTTCCCCTCCCTTTCCCTCCTCTCTCCTTCCCCTCCTCTCTCCTTCCCCTCCTCTCTCCTTCCCCTCCTCTCTCCTTCCCCTCCTCTCTCCTTCTTTCTCTTTACTTACCACTTGTTTCCCCTTCCTACCCTCTCTTTTCTTCCTCTCTTCTTAGGGTGGGGGCATCCATGTTTCTCAGTTTTTGACTTAGAGGACAGAAATCCCCACAGTTTACAGGGAAGTTTATTTAGCAAAATAAAACAAAAGGAGTCAGCCAACTAGAGAAGTATGTGTGTCAAGGTGCAGGTAGCAGCCCATTTGGTTCTGTACTATAGATTTTAAGCAATATATATGAATATTCTTGATGGATGATATACTCATGATGTAAAGTGACACTTTTTCCACTCTTAAATTGTGGAAGGGTATTTCTTTTGTGAATATGTGTGTGTATGCGTGTATATGTTTGAAGATTTAGATCCTTTGTCAGTGCACATGTGTGGCAGTTGGGAAAGTTCCCTGGCACCTTGTTTCTGATGTAATGGGATAAAACTACACTTTGAAGGTGTTTGTTAACAGTGGTGCATTCTGCACATCAGGAGAAACAGCTACCAGGATGGAGCTTTCATTTTCCTTTGGTTGCCTTGCCTCTCTCCTGACCTACCCAGTCTCTTACATACTTGATGATTCCTACAACAGTTTACTTGCATTTTGGAATTTGAATTATCTAAGCATTTTATTCTCCTCCTGTTGGTGTATCTAGACTGCTGACCTGCTAAATCATCATTTAAGACCCTTCTTCCATGCAATATCTGGAGTTATCAGGACTAAACATATTCTGATTGTGCCCATTTCATGCTTCATATCTTTTAACATAGTGGAGGTGATAGACTGCCCTGCACATGTGATAGCATAGACAATTCAGTATATACATGCACACAACCAAGTATGTGATACTGAGGTTGTCTGGAAAATATTAAATATCCATGTCAGCGTCCTGGTTTTCACAGTAGATGATAGTTTTTGTAAGATGTTGCCATTAGGAAAAACTGGGTTGAAGATATTTAAGATGGTTCTATCATATGTATTGAATATACAGTTATCTTGAAATAAAAGTCCATTTAAAGTAGCTTACAAAGGTGCTCAGTGGTTAAGAGCACATACTGCTCCTGAAGAGGACCCAAGTTCAGTTTCCAATACCCACATCCAGTGACTCACAATTACCTTAACTCCAGCTCTGAGGAATCTCTTCTGGTCTCCGTAGGCACCCGCATGCATGTGCACATACCCCTACACACACACATACAAATCGTGACTAGTAATAATCAGATACCTAGAGATTAAAGACACATGTGCAAACATCTAAGCATTAGTAACATTAAAAATGTAGGAAATGGCATATTTTAAAATGAAGTGGAGATCTTCTTAGGTTATTAACTCATTCAATTTTATGTCTTACAGGGTTTATACTGAGTTCAATATTGTATAACCGTATTAATTCAACTGTGAACCTAAAAATTTACAGCCA